GAAGAGGGGGTTGGGATACGTTGCTTCACCAGATACTCCGAAGCATGATGACCGTGATGGTCACTCGCATCATGTGGTGTCCCTCCGGAAGTCCTGATGGCTGATGAGTCAGTTGCAGCATTGGACTTTACAAAGGGTATTTTCACAGATTTTGCCGCCTCCATTGATTTATCAATAGGCTGTGCACATATCGGTTGCTTTCAACCGAATTTCTGTAGTCAAACTTATAAGGAACTCAACCCAGTTCTCTAGGAACGACTGTGTCGTTAGAGCAGTATGTAACACCAATTTCAACAATCTAAGGACCATACAATTTGTAAGTAGGTACCACTAAAGTCCCTGTCGAGGAAGTAGCGACTGCGGTTTCCTAAAAAAGCTTGAACGTATAGGTTGTTAAACCTCTTTGTCTCGGCTTTTATAACCACAACCAGACATTTGGCAAAAGAAGTTAGTTTGTATTTGTAAGGCTGTTCTTTTTCTAAGCAGTTGCTTGAGGAATGGAGAGGATAATCTCTCAATCCGAAGATAGTTGGTCTCAATGGGGCAATAGCGATTAAAACAGCAATTGCTATGGCCTGTGTGGGGTTCGCATTGAGCTGACAGATACTCACGGTAGAAAATTGAGAAGTCGATTGAATGGAGTGTTATTTGAGCTTTCCAATGGTTTTCTTTGAACAGGTTGTCGTTCAGCAGTTTTAAACGGCCTTCTTACCATTGCAACGTAATAAGCCTTATGGTAAGTCTTTGGGCATATCTTCACGACGCAATGGTCCGAGCTGCCAAACGGGGCGTATCCATATGTGGAAAACAGGTTGTTTGTTTGTAAAAATTAAATCCAAATGTGCGTCGAGTCTGGTGGGGAATTACACCAATTTGGTTAGGTCCAGCACTTTGGTAAAGACTGTGTCACTCCTATTGAAGCCACTGAAGGTGATGCAGAGGGAACATTAAAAGTTCGGTTGCTTTTCCTAAGCGAGGTGATCTGCAAACATTTTATCACAGACAGTGCTGCGCAGGGCATTATATAAACGTTCCCAACTTCAGCAGATAGAAAGCCACTAACAACGTTGGTTGCCATTCCAACAAGTGGTAACTCATTGAAGGCGTTGGGTAAGCGGGCAGCTGTGAAAGCAATGTACACCAATCTTCGGTAATGTAGGTGGTCACACCTCCTCTGCGGTGCTGAGGCTTTTTTGGGTGGTCGGGTCTGATATGTCCATAGTCACTGAGTTTCACGACTCCATCTTCAATGTCGAAATCTAGCCAACTCTTTTGTAAGATTCTATACCTACGTTCGAGACTCAAGATCACCAATTTTCCTGAGAAACGGTCGGACATTACTAGAAAAGATGAAGGGAATCTTTGCACTGTTGACAGGACCGCATCTGAGTCCAACTTGCTAACAGCATGGTGTTATTTCTTCATCCCCAACATTTTTTGACAATTCTTTGAAAGTGATTCTGATTTTGTGGCCATATTCGACTAATGGTGAACTTCGGACAAATTCGCGGAGCGTAATCAAATGATCAAGAGTATGTAGCATATAACTCAAGAAAAATTCCAAGAGCGAAGCAAGTACTTGTAATAACAACATGTAGCCACCTTAAAGGGAAAATAATGGTGTACTGACAACGGAAACAACCTTACGGTCAACAGCTTCCCCCGTGTTCTTGTCAATCTTCTGGTACAGAACAGCCATGTGGCATTGAAAAGAAAACGGGAAGCGCAGTCATAACGACGGTTCAAACATAATTGGCGCGCTACTTTTTCGAACATTGCCTACATGAGAAAGTCGACACCGCTGACCTTAAGTTGGTTCACTTAAACAAAAGGAAAACAAGTTGTAGAAACTGGAGGAAAAATTATTCACAGTGACTACGGTGGAACCATATTCCAATCACGACAGCAAAGATCGAATATGAAGGCAAAAGCACACAGTTGGTTCCCTGATGTTAAACAACTCATTTGTAAAAACTGCGACCATTCTGAAAGCCTATGTTGATATTCCGGCCAGGAGTTGGGCGAAGATGAATTCAGTTGCATGAGTTTGTAATCGCCGTTCTGTAACATGCCCCTACGCAGTTCACCGCGCGGTCGCGTACTCTAATCGGATTTACTGACACCTATCACACACCCGTGTGGTTACACTCATTGTATCCAGCTTCATCAGCGCTATCTATACATTTCCGAGTCAAGTTAGTTAATAGAGGAAGCAAATTGGTTCGTAAGCATTTTCAACTTGGTTCGCAAGCATTTTCAACTTGGTTCATAAGCAGTTTCAAGTTGGCGTGTTTCAAAGTTTGGCTAAGATGCACACACGCACCGACGAGTAGCTTCCTCATTGGTCAGACACCGTCGGCCAACAGGATGCCGTGTGTCACTATAGAGCAGGGTTCTCAAACTTTTCGGCACGTGCACCCCTCTGTAGTGTAACCCAGCACGACGGACCCCTGAGCTTTTCTTATCCCCAGAACTAGGCTTTAATAACATACGATTGAGGTGAAGTTCATCGCTGTACAGGGAATTTGCACAGTTGTTCATTTATGTTGGCAATAGTGAAGGCTGTTGAACTTACATGCAAATGCAACTATATTAAGGCCTAGTACCTTGGAGAAAATTCGTTCCGACATGCAGCGCTGACTTGTTTGATACTAGGTGTTATTAATCGCTGGTCCGAGAACTCACCGTTTTGTTCTCGAAAATTTGGTCGAAAGAGAAGGTTCCATCATCTTGGGGTGAATCGATAGTCGTACCCATCTTCAAAAAGGGCCTGCGCACAATCTGCTCCAACTACAGAGGAATAAGTTTAGTCCCCGTCGTTTGCAAGCTGCTGGTGTCCATCATACTTCGCAGGCTATCCCCAACACGCGAATCGTTGCAGCGAGAAGAACAAGCTGGGTTTCGCCCTGGTCGCGGCTGCATCGATCAAATCTTCACACTTCGCCAGATCCTCGAGCTCCGCCATGTGTATCAGAGGCCAACGATTGCTGTGTTCCTGGATATCCGTGCTGCCTTCGATTCTGTCGATCGTACAGTACTGTGGCAGTGCCTTCTGAGGAACGGTGTCCCCGAGAAGTTCGTCTCCATACTGCGCGCTCTGTACAGTCTGACCTCGGGCAGGGTTAGGGCTTATGGCATGCTTTCGCCTACCTTCGTGGTCTCCAGTGGAGGTCGACAAGGATGCCCTATCTCTCCGTTCCTATTCAACTTTGCCATTGAGGATGTCCTGAAGAACGCTCTGAGCGATTCGTTGAACGCTGGCGTTGAGCTCCTCCCAGGTAGTCGAGTTGTTGATTTGGATTATGCTGATGATATCGTCTTGCTAGGTGACGATCCACAAGTCGTCCAACTTGCATTAAACCGCTTGACGATTGAAGCATCAAAGCATGGTATGTGCTTTTCGCCATCCAAATGCAAGGCTCTCCTTCAAGACTGGCAGGTGCCTCTGCCTGCACTCACGCTTGCTGGTGAGACACTGGAGGTTGTGGAGAGCTTTGTCTACTTGGGAAGTTGCATCACTGCTGGCGGGGCTGTTGGAGACGAGATTTCGATGCGCATCTCGAAAGCACGCCTCGCTTTTTCTAGGCTGAGGCATTTGTGGTGTCGCCACGACATTCGTCTCTCCATCAAAGGGCGGGTCTATTGTGCAACTGTTCGTGCTGTACTGTTGTACGGATGCGAGACCTGGCCCATTCGTAAAGATGACTTGCGCAGGCTATCCGTCTTCGAGCACCGCTGTCTGCGGTCCATTGCCCGTGTGTGGTGGCAGCACCACGTAAGCAATGTGGAAGTTAGACAGCGTGTCTTGGGACGTGGAAACCACTCGCTCGAGGAGCTCATCACACTGCATCAACTGCGGTGGTTGGGACACGTATTGCGCATGCCTGTCCAGCGTTACCCCCGTCGTGCGTTGTTTGCACTTGCTGGACAGGGCTGGAAGAGACGGTCTGGTGGACAGCCTACAACATGGAGAAGCCGCATGAAAAAGTTGACGAAACAATTGGCCTCGGCCGGTTGTTGTCGACTACCTGGTTGGGGTCCGAGAGACGAGGATACTTGCTGGTTGAAAACCTTGGAAGTTATGGCTCAAGATCGATGTCAATGGCGGACGTGTGCATCAGTGTGTTGCGGTGTCCCTTCCTCCTCCCCCCTAAAAACGAACAAACTGAAAAAAAAATTTCAAAAACTGTGAGTGGTAAACTTGACAAAAAAAGCATTTCTTGTTGCTCTTTTCTTATTATTCATATTGTTTTCCTATTCAGCCATGATTCCGATGGCACAATATCTGTACCACAGATTGTGTATAATATATATATATATATATATAGGTGTTATTAAGGAAAGCTAGAACCTGGGATCTGGTTACGCTTCAGGTCTGTTTCGGTACTTTGTTTTGTATAGATATAATGCGAGAATGCAATCTCACACAGATAAGTTGTGGCAAATGGAGAAGCACGGCGATATCTGTCTACCATGACAAGGTACACATCGTTCGTTTTGTATCAGAAATCACACAGAGACAGTCTGTGAAAAGTTTTTTGAAAGGAAGAGTCTTAGGTCATCTCCATGCATTTTGTATGCATTGCCGCATACGCTTCTCGGTTCTGCAGTCAGCGTATTACGATAAAGAACGATGTAAGATGCTTCTGTTGATTTTTTTACAGTCTGCGACGCTTTAAGCATGTACGTTTGGGTGTTCAATATTTCATCTCGCATGCGCTGTAAGTACCTTTTTCTGTCTTTACAGTCCGTATGAATTTTTCAAAATGCCGCTGCATTTTAATACGCACCATGTTCAGAAGAACTTTGTTACACAAGTCACCTTGTGGATAATTATTGGACTCTATAAATCCAAAACGAAGAGAAACGTTGTTGTATTTCCGCCTCTTACCCACTGGTACAGAGGATCCGGTTGGCACAGACTTATATTGCATCACATCAGGTAGTACAGAAACATCGCACGTCTTAGTTGCTGCATGCTCAGAAGGCACATTGGATGGCCCAACTGCTACTACATCTGAATTCGACGAAGAATATTCCTGTGAAACATTTAGCAGTATTCCATTCTTCATTTCATGGTCTTTGTTGATGTTACATGTCTAACTACCACAATGGAGATAAATAATTAAACACAAGAGTCCAAAACACACCAGGAATTTCGTTACTATGATAAGTTGTACTTTGAACGAAGTATCATAGTGAACGAAAGTGCCACCCTTTTGTAACGTCGCTGATGTAATTTCCCTCGAGTTCGCATAATCGGCTGAGCACATTCGTTAAACACAGAAATATCCACGCTTTCCTGCTGAGCTTCCATTGAAGCGATCCCGCAAACGGGTCTCCCTTCCGGTTTGCTTATTTTTCGGAGAATAGTAACACTTGAAATGACCGCAAACTTGAGCCCTATCATATGGCATACTTCTCGCTGCCACTCGAGGGACAGAGACTGGGTTATGTGAGCTTGAGCGGACGTAGAATGAACCATCTAGCCACTGCCCATGGCATCACGGTGAAATTAACACACGACCTTTCTGAAATTGGAAAGCCTCGTTCGCTCACAGTTTAACTCCCAGCCAAAACAAGCTTCCTCCTTGGAAGAAGTATGTTTGTATGGGCAATGCACAAGGCTATAATGTAAACCGTTAGGTTTGATTTAAAAATTTTTACAGCACGTTTGTCATAAATTTGTGACATAGACTGATCGCGTCCATAAAATTTCCTAGTAGAAGTATAACACTGGGAGATCATGCGGATTCCCTGAAACTAGCCCACGTATCCCCTGGGCATCCACGGACCACCCTTTTGAGAAACAGTACTATAGAGATTGTTATACTCATAAATTATGCGCATTCAGACATGAAGAGAACAATTGCGAAGAAATTGCTTTTCCATAAATATCGTCAGGCGCTACAATTATGAAGCAGATAACTGAAAGTTGCAAAAAGCTATTGCTAGCTATGTACAAGGACAAGGACGTCGGATGATAGAGGAAACGGTTAAACTGGGAACTTATTATGTACAGCAATCAATGACAGATTCAAAGGAGTCACGATGGACCGGTGACCTTGAGGCCTGCTAACTTCGTGAGGACCAGTTCAGAATTAGCGCTTGCACGAGAGCTTGCTGCTTGCATAATTCCGGCTGAAGGTGTCCGATAGCAATAGCTTCAGCTATAGTCAGGAAGCACCTTTTGAGTCCCTTTGAGCATCGTTATAGGGCAACTAGGAGAACCCTAAATGAGTATTTAACACGACATTGATGCGCAGTGTTGATCAGGTGCTCACAGATGCGATGATCGCAGAGCAGTAACTCTTCTGACTGAAGAACAGTGTGATTGCCTAACTGTGACAATGCACACTGATAACTGCACACGGTCAATAATATGACAGTCTTAGTGCATGTGCCATGATTGAACAGGTTGCATTTCGAGTTAGAGGGACACTTACAGGGAATAATATGATAGCACGGGCAATGAAGAGAGTGCTTAGCAAGTCTCGTATTTTGTTAGGCTGCAAGCCACAAGCACTAGCGCACAAATACAACGGTGATCCGTTGTATTTGTGCTATGAGAGGGAAGTATTATTGCAATACGCAGCTGGGAAGTGCGACCTACTGAAGTGGTACAGGTAAGCATCTTGCGATATTTAACCAATCATTTTGAAATATGAGCTCAACTTGTCAATCTGGTAAGTATAGGGCGTGAGAATGAAATTTATCGATGCACTAAATCTGCTCGCAGCCTTCCGTGAAGAATCGTACGGTTCGGGAAGTTCATGCTTTGCTGATTGCTGTCTCTTCTCTAACAGGCACATGTGTTACACAATGGAACCCGCTTTATTGCCCACCCCGTTCATAGCCCACCCCGCTTTATTGACCAGTTTTTCAAAATATCAATTCTTTTCTCATAAATATGCTACATTTTCCCCGTCTAATTGCCCACTCTCTGGGTCGTCGCACCGGTTAATTGCACTGCGGCATGGGCTGTGCTCTTGACGCTTTGTCGATTTTACGCCCTCGCTCCGACTATCTTTATTACGATTACCCCATAGCTAGGTAGTCCGAACGATTCAAGAACAATAAAGCCATCGGCGGCGTTTTTGACAGATCAGAGAAGGCTACCTACGTCATCCAATACACGAGCAAGCTTAATGAACAAACGGGTGTGGGCAATCCCCCAACCTTGATAAAACTCGAGAACTGAGCAAAGTGGAGTAATTTGCCCGCTCCACACGTGTCTCTGCTCTATTGGTTGCACACAAGTATGATCAGTAACAGAAAGGATTTGTCCTTGACAAAAATGTTGGATCGCGCTGTCATGATTCATGCCGACAATGTGTTTACAGTCGGATGCCCTGTGACACAAGCAAGCAATAGTATTCCTCCAAAGACTCTGCGTCGACCGTTATGCACGAAATGGGATGGCAAGAAGACCCTGCTCAACGTGCCGGTTATAACACAATGTCCTACTGCACAACAAACTGTATCGTACTCGTGATCATTTTCTTTTGGTGCACTGCCCATGGTGCTTTACTTGCGTTCTGAAACGTTGCTTTACATGGCAGTTAGTGCAACGTGCATAACCGTGGGCAAAAACCGTTTGAAATCAGTTGCTCCTTACGTACTGGACTGCTTGCTAGATATCGAAGACGTTGACGTGTATACAGTTAGGTACAGCCTATGTTTCGTACGTCATTCCGAGGTACGGGTATTGCGTTCGGCTCTAGTGCAGAACCACTTGAGGTATCCGTTACCTGGCTCCTGGTTCCCCGGGCTGTTTTCCCTACTGACTTGTTTATATTATGACGGATTTAAAGCCACGTGCCCCCGGGATCACGTATGCCATATGACAGGGCTCTAGTTTGCGGTCATTTCAAGTGTTACTATTCTCCGAAAAATAAGCAAACCGGAGGGGAGACCCGTTTGCGGGATCGCTTCAATGGAAGCTCAGCAGGAAAGCGTGGATATTTCTGTGTTTAACGAATGTGCTCAGCCGATTATGCGAACTCGAGGGAAATTACATCAGTGACGTTACAAAAGGGTGACATTTTCGTTCACTATGATACTTCGTTCAAAGTACAACTTATCATAACAACGAAATTCCTGGTGTGTTTTGGACTCTTGTGTTTAATTATTTATCTCCATTGTGGTAGTTAGATATGTGACATCAACAAAGACCATAAAATGAAGAATGGAATACTGCTAAATGTTTCAAAGGAATATTCTTCGTCGAATTCAGATGTAGTAGCACTTGGGCCATCCAATGTGCCTTCTGAGTATGCAGCAACTGAGACGTGCGATGTTTCTGTACTACCTGACGTGATGCAATATAAGTCTGTGCCAACCGGATCCTCTGTACCAGTGGGTAAGAGGCGGAAATACAACAACGTTTCTCTTCGTTTTGGATTTACAGGGTCCACTTGTTTCTTGCAATTGCGATCAAGACTGTGACGGCAGAACAGGCTATGCGGCAGCGAGTAGTCTTTAGGCGGCCTGGCTTTTCAAACTTCCTTTCGCAAAACGTTACATTTCATATGTGCAAGGCGTATTGAAAGGAATGCCTCTTTTGCTAATGTGGGTTGTTGGAAGCTAACTTTCAGTCCACAAGAGCGTGGCCAATATATCTTTTATCATTAGCTGGAATAACAATAAGCACCTATTGAACATTCCTTGCTCAAGGCAGTTAGGTTTGTCCAAGCGCTATCACCATTATACCGCACTAGCCCGGTACTGATGCAATACTGTCCTGAGTTTTGCACGCCTGTCTTCGTTCCAACCAGCCCTAAACACGGTATTTAGCGATCAGTGAACTTGCCCTGTGGCGTGCCGTAGTTGCCTTCAACTCAGCCATCCGCGCTCATCCAACGTTTTCACGATGGACGAATAAGGGCAAGCACACATGTACCCAGACGCTTGCATACGGCCATCAATCTGGACGTTCATGCACATGTGACCGGGAGAGGGGTATTTGAGAGAGACCAACACCTAGTATTGGAAGTTTGGTAATTAATTGCGCTCCTTTGTCACCCTAAGAGAAACCCTTTGTCCCAGTTGGCATAGTAAATGTGGCGAAATTACTGGGACTAAATTTATCATATTTGCCCAAACGTTCTCGCCCGCTAAATTCCGGGGTGAGAATGTTAATGTCTGAGGACACCAATTGCTTGATTTATGGTTGTTTCTACGAAAATTTCACGGGCGATTTTCGCTTAAACAAATCGGAGTATTTTGGTCAACGATTATGGCGTAAATGGCCACGGTGTATGCACTTGGTCGTGGTAACTATTGCGAGGGAAACAAACGTGCATTGCGCATAGAATGGCTGAGCCACTGTTGTCTGTGTTGCGACTGGGCAGCCGCATGTGAACCACTGCACATCACCAAGCTGACCGGTGCGCTCTAACACAATGAAGCAGAGCATTCTTTATGTCTCGGCAGTGCGCCAATCGGCTTGCGCCTGATCAAAAGATACACAGTTGTGTTTCACAAACGATATCTCCCAACATAGGTTTATTGAGAATCCACTCCAACATGCGGTAACTGGTGGAAGTAGTTGAGCATGCCTGGAAAAAGTGCTGAGAAAGGGGGTTCTCCTGCTCATACAAGGGCATTTATAGATCTGCTTTCACCACGTAGCAATCGTGGTTATTGTACTTTGGTTCTTGTCTCATTGATGAATATAAGCATGTTTCAACGTGGAATGCGGTTACAATTTTCCAAAAGACAAAAGTTGACAATATGGTTGTTCCATCAAGGTCAACTTGAAGCAACTCGCTTACAGTCAGCAACAAAATATTAGAAATGGCAAATTTGCCTCTATTCGACATCGATGTCATTGTCGAATACTGTTTCCTAAGGCCGAGATATCCGTAACATAGAACTGATGTGATGAACAGCAAGATATTTCTTGATAGACATTTGAAACCCGTGTTTTGGGTTAATTTGGTACAAGGTTTGGGGTAGGCAGTGATAAATAAGTTTGCCTTCATTCTTGTTTTCCTCCTTGGAAGTGTGCTCTCGCAACTTATATCACTTGTGGAATGGCCGCCACCCTGTTTCATAGAGAAATCGACCCCTGAGTTGTGAACCCTGTAACGTATTAATCTGAGGTTTACTATGAAGTACGTTTGAAAAAGGGTGACTCTACATGTAAACAAAGAAAATTCAGACGAACGCGTCCTTGGTTTTCGCAACAAGTAATGCATCATCTGCTTTTAGCATTCGTTGCTTGAGAATATGTTTAAATGCATAATTTCTATTCCTGAATAAGACACGGAATATATGCCACAGATAACGAGTATACTACTAGCTTCGATCTAGGGCTGGTATAGCACTTGTCGGTAGATAGGCGAAACGCTATTGCTATTTCACAACTCACCATTCGGCATATATTTAGGCAAGGATTCAAGCGGTATGAATAGGTAACTGTTTATCACTCCCCAAAACAGTCATACAGGAGAGTGTCCTTAGCAATTTGCCATTTCTTATTTTCGTACACCAACTCTTCATTATCTTGAAGCATGGCATGGCATTCTTATTTAAAGACGAAATACAAGATACATCCTCTCACAGAGAAGAGAACACACGGGAGGTTTCACAACATATTTCAGACGATCTTACATCGCTTAAAACTTGGTGTCGTTTGCAGC